CTTATTCTGTACTTTTCGAATAAGGGGAAGTGACCTTTCAAAAGCAATTTATTTGCAATTTCTTTGATTTGTCAACTTCCCTCCGTATCGCAGCCCCCTCCCTCTCATTCATCCCCATATCTCTCTCACTCTCTCTCTCTCTCTCTCTTTCTCTCTCTCTCTCTCTCTCTTTCTTCCCATCTCCTCTCTGCATTCTATCCGTTCGATTACCATATGCAGACCTCCACTACTTCTTCTTCTTAGTTCTATACTCCCTTCTCCTTTCCTTCTTCCGCTCTCAGTAAACCATCCATGTCCTATCTAATAAAATATCTCTTCCTCTTTACCACTCCCACAGCCCCTCCCCGACAAAGCCCTCTCCTCCATACAACCAATAACTATCCCCTTCACAAACCCGCTCTCTCCCGGGTATCATATTTCAAATAACTTTTGTCACCTAACCCACTTCTGCTTTTCACGCTTTCACTGCGACAAGTACGTTTACATTATTCTTCACAATTCATCTTCCCCCAATATTTGATTAATGTCAGCTGATAGCATTTTCAAGATATGACTATTTGGCATGGCAGAAAAACCAGCACGAATTCCTTTTATATATCCGTGTTTTAACCCAGATTCCGTTTTCATAATTTCTTATACTAGACAAGCTTTTGTACGAAAAAGTACTGTACTAACTTGTCGATTTATTTATCAAGCAATTTTGAGAATGTCACGGAAAGAAACCAACAATTTTCTCACTATTTATGCAAGCGAAGGCATTTGTCATCTATTGCAATTATATAGGAAACGGATAACTTCTGCATATCACAAGTTATGCAGGGAAAACGGGAAAGCGAAGAAAAATTGATAAACGTACCATTTAATAACATAAATCTCAAAGATGTCTGATATTTTCTGTATGACAAATCCCTTTCTACAGGAGTTGTACCACGTGAATGGAGAAAAAAAGCTCGGGTAGTACCAATATTTAAATCTGGAGATATTTCTTCTTTGAATATGTGCCGCCCCATTTCAATATTACCCATCGTAAGTAAAATTATGGAAAGGGCCGTCCATCAACAAATCAGCGAATTCGTGGACAAGAATCATTTATTACACCCTACTCAGTCTGGTTTTAGACCTATACATTGAACAGCTACTGCCCTTTGCAAAACTTGAAAATCAATGGTCGTTGAATATTGAAATCAAAGAAATTTCTGGAGTTGCCTTCATATATTTTCGGAAGGCTTTTGATACTGTGGACCATGAACTCCTTTTACTAGCTTGTATAGGTTGTAGTAATAGGACTATTTATTGGTTCAAATCATATTTAGGTGATCGACGACAAGACAGATCAAAGGAGCCACGTCGCATCCATCAACCATCAAATTAGGTGTGCCACAAGGTTCAATTCTTGGTCCCCTTTTATTTTCAATTTATGTTAAAATTCTACCTGAAGGTACTCCTGAAGGTATCATATATTATATGAATGCCGACGATATACCACACTTACCGTCAGTGCAAATGATGCAACTGTTTTGGGAGAAAAATTCAAAAGAGGGCTGCAAGAATAATATTGAACAAGACATATGTTTCACCGTCGGCTGATTTGTTCACAAATCTTAATTGGATGGCACTAGACAAACGGTTTCTTTTTAAATGTACTATGGCAAATTTTATTTTAACTGTTGTGTATGAATGTTATGGTTTTTTATGTAAATATGTTCATGTTTATACAGGGCCTCGTGGAAGACCACTACTTATTGGGGAATGGGTTATCCTGACAAAAGATTAGAAATAAATAAACAAACAAACAAACCAATGATATATTTTAAAAAACAATAGAGTACTTGTTAGAGAGCGTCCCATTGGCTAGCAAGCTATCACATGGAAGTCAGCATTTACCGTAGCCTACCTTGGAGTAGAAAACATCCGGCAAAATCGTTTTTGAATGCGAAAAGAAAAATGTGGAAAAAAAATTTGCTTTTAGCATCTCTCACCATTTGAATTAATGTATAACACCTATGAATACTAGTCTTGACGTGCTAATATACTGCAGATCTTATGGAGATGTATTGTTACGTTATTAAACGTCCAATGGTTTCAACTTCTTCAATATTTTGTTCTTAGGGGCACAAGGAAGGGGAGGGGCCTATCGAAATCTGTGGAGACCATGTATCTGCAGCCCCTTGATATACGCCTCGGAAAAAAGAACAAAAACATTTATATTTTTTGTTATAAAAAAAAGTTTGTTACGAATGAGGAGTGGATTATTTTTCCTAATTTTCACACAAATTGTTAAGCTACTCAAGCATGAGAGGAAATTATATTACACTGTCGCGCATAATATTAGAATAATTTTTTTCTTACCTCGTTGCATGAAATGATCGTGATAATATTAATTCAAATTCTTGGTAGATAAAGTTTGTGTCATTTCAGAACTTTATTCATCAATCTAATAAGTCTTAGCGATTGATCAATCAAGTTGTGGGAAGATAATAAACTTTTTCTATCAAGAAATAAACCATATTGTCACAATTATTTCATCAAAAGAGGTATGAAAACAAAAATTACAACATAATGGGCAACCATGTACAGTGATGCTCTGATCTATTTAAACAAGGGAATATGAATAATACGATACATAACTTAAACAACATGCATAGAAAATGAGCAAAATAGGTTACCGTCAGCAGTACTCCAATAACAATATTGTAGTATACGTATGAGAAGCGTGAAAGTTATCAATCGCTTTTCGGGTGACGTCATCGACACTTGCGTACTCTCTTTCAAAATTGAGACAGCTCTTTCCTGCCAGCAAGGTCTGTTGCAAAAGAAGATGACAATTGAGAGAAATCGAGTACTGCTGGAGAGAGAGAGAGAGAGAGAGAGAGAGAGAGGGAGCATTAGAGATAGAGAGAGTATTAGAGAGAGAGAGAGAGAGGGGGAGAGAGAGAGAGAGAGAGAGAAAGATACGTTGGAAAGATAGAGATATACTTAGAGAGGGATGGAGGGAGGGAGAGAGAGAGAGAGAGAGAGGGAGAGAGGAGTATCTATTACGTGAAGGGATAGTTTGCCCAAAACCTTGTCAGTCGACGTGCGTAAGGTATACATGGGCAGCAAGAAAAGAGAATTTAATGGTGTTCACCAAATTTTAAATGCGGATTCCTCAATAAAATGTAATGCCACAGAGACTGAATTTAAAAAAACAGTGCCCAAAGTAAATTTCTTGCATTTCAGAACAAATATTTGTTTTTCTTAAAAGAAAAAAAGAGAGAAAGTATGATTACAGAGCATTTTTCTTCTCAAGATCATCATTATATTCCCATTTGTTTCCCTTTACAGTCGAGTTACCCATAAAGAAGATGAAAATTATCATCATCATTAACATTTAGGAATGCATATTTGTTTCATTCATTCATTCATCCTTCTATTCACGAATGTAAATAGCTCAATCATGTCGGCATATTTCAATTATCAGATCATTCACAGTCTTCACACTCAATCCAATTCAAATTTCGGCCCGGCACTTTCAGCGGGACATTTATCCACATTGTCCACTCTCCATCCAGGTGTTAATAGGAACCTGCCAATACACCAGTTTACAGTTGTATCAGTGCGCATGCGCAGACAGTTGACCTCGGGTCATTGGCCCCGGAAGCGGGGCCAATAACCTTTGACCAGTGGTATTTATGCGTAAATTAAGATTGCGCCCATGCAAATGATGATTTGCGCGCACAACGCAGCGCGTAGGCAGTGATATCTTTGCATGGGCGCAATCTTAATTTACGCATAAATACATGACCTCTAGGTCATTGGCCTTGTTTAAAATGGCGCACACAACTGTAAACTGGTGTATTGTTGGGGGTAATGGTAACTGCAGGCAAAGCAATAAATAATCAAAGTCTAAATGTTAGTGACCTCATTCCAAGCAGCTAATGACGTCAAACATATCAGCCAAGGTCCGGAACTCTCGTGGGAAAAAATGACGCGCCCAGGCCCCCGGCCCCGTAGCTACGAGTATACACACACAATCATTCAAATTCACATATAACTCATTTTGTTACGCAAAATTTCCAACAGTCGCATTTTTAGTTAATATAGTCATCAGAATTCAACCGCTTTTTTGCAACAAGGACTTTGGTGACGTAATTTCAAATCACATGGAAACTGAATACGTGAAATGTTTTGCTACTATATTTTTCGGCTGCTGAATACTAAGAGCTGATTTTTGGTTCGTGGTTTGGTAATTTCGTAAATTATAATATCCAACCCTTAAATAACCTCATTAGCGAGGGAGCAGAAAAATAAGAGAAACCAGAATGGCGAAAGTTTGAAATATTTCAGGTCATAATAAAGGAGTTAGGAAGGTTTGAAATATGAGATCACTAAATCCATTTGAATTTCAAATTAGTAATTTGGTCAGTAGATTGTGACGTAGTTGTAGAACAACTCTCCCTTTTATCATATACACAAAATATCATTAGTTCTCTTTTTCTCCTCGGGGCAATACTTAAAATTTATTATAGAAAACACGTCTTTACAGGTCCTCTTAACAGAAAAGACCCTTTACTTCTAAATCATATATTATGAAAAATTGACATTTTAATCATTTTGTGTGTTGAAATGAATGGGAAAGTAGTCCGGCACATGCTCACATTGACAATACCAATTCAGCCAATTTGAAGTGCCCGTTGGCAAAGTCTTAACAAATATCAAAAAAGTAATAACTTTCTTATTTTCTGTCCGATTTAATCTAAAATTTCACAAGCTTGCTTTCTTATACAGTATAGTTGTTTGTTCAGGTTGGATTTACCTTTAATCATAATTATCATTGTTAATGGCGATGCAGGTGCAAAGGTGATATCTGCTATATTATGAATACGTATGTTAGGAAAAATAATTCAGAAGGCATGAAATGATATAAAGATTTAATGAGTACTAGGAATTTATGTTGTTATTCAAAAAAGGACGGAGAGAGAGAGAGAAGAAGAGGGGAGAACAGGGGAGAGAGAGGGAGGGGGAATTGAGGAGAAGGATCGAGATGGAGAGCGAGAAATGACGTAGGTAAAAGCAAGTGATCTGTCTATCCTGAGCTAGAAATGAATCAACAACTATATATGATCAACTGGAAAAAAGGGCAACTTCCAAATAAACACCATTCATGTAAGCCACGCCCAGTTTGTCCCTTCCGCGCTGACGATCATTACGCCAGCCGAGACTAATTGCAGTCCCACACGTAGTCTCTCCCGTCATGTTCGTCAACCGTCACAACCCTCACGCCCTGCCCCCTCTTCTCTCTCCCTCTCTCTCCCGGCGGACCCGGCTTGGAAAACGCCAAGACAGGTGATTACACCATTAGCAGCGGCAGGTGGGATTCAAAATACATGTATCACTTTGGCCAGGCGCAACTGTCACCATTGTGCACGGAATTCGATCAATTTATTGAGCAAAGCAAACGATTAAATGATTGATATTAGTGAAGTTTCTTTTGTGCTCGCACTATAGAAGGGAGATATATAAAAGCTCTCTGCGTGGATAATTTTAACACATTTACAAGAGTCAAAACCAGAATGCTAACATCGAGCGAATTAAAAGGTTAAAGATAGGTGATCCCGACATTTAACTGATTTTTTTACCCATCGAAAAACTTACTGATTCGAAAGAAGCCAGTCTCGAAGAAAAAAAAACTGAAGCAGAGTTTGTTCAGAGGCTGTGCGCAACAGGTGGGACGTCGCTTAGTCCATTTTGGTGGGCGATTCAGGAGTTAAGGCGAAAGGGCAAGCGGTGGTGAAAAGCAAGGACAGAAAGACGTTATAACTTATTCAATTTACAGGTAAGTGCAATGTCTTATAGACCGAGAACCCTGTTAAGTTTATTTATTACATCGTATTTTTTAGATGATCATAAGTGTTAATGTTTTGTTACTGTAATCATATATCTGTGAGACGCGTTAAGCATGTTGGACAGATCCTTTTTAATTAATTAACAATAATTATGATTAGTGGGTTACTGTTTGTCAAACTTGACACTCCTGGTGCTCCAAATTTATTATTTCGGCTTTAGCATGGCTGGCATTATGGTGCTTTAGCATTTCAATTAATTCCTGTCAGGTGCCATTTCACCTCACCTGAGTCCAGTGTGGCAAATGTAGATTTTTTTATCTTTCCTATGGACGCTAGTGTTGTATCAGGGATTCGAACCCCGCACCCTGTGGTTTACAGTCCGGCGACTTATCCACTAGACCTCAACACATCTATTATTTAAAAACTATGTATCATACCACACGAATTGCAAGCAAGTGGATGGCATTTCATATACACTTCGAAGATCAAGACGCCGGGGTGCCCCCGCCGCCCCACTCCCCCCCCCCCCCCCCACCCCTTGCTGAAATGTTGTGAAACTCACAATGTCATCGAGAAAGAATGAACGAATGAATGACTGTATGAGCGATCCGTGTATATTCAAGCACCGAGGTCGGTATCTTTTTTATTATTCATTTATTCGTCTCAAGTGGGGGAAGAAGGAGTTGGTATCATATATATTTTTTCACGCTGCATTAATTGATTTCACGTCTCTACTTTCATTTCTTCACTCTATGTCTCCGCCTTCCCATTTCTCTCTCTCTCTCTATCCCCTTTCCTTAATCAATGGGAGAGGGGTGCGTTCACCCCCCCCCCCCCCTCGTGGCTCCGTGGCTACGCCAGTACAACACGTTATTACATCTAACTGGCTCACAGGTCGTTAGCTGGTCGGTCCAACAGAGCAAAATAGTGGCCGGCCCCGAAGACCGAAGGTTTACCAAAGCGAATATTTTAGTCTCGTGAGCCTTCGAGTTCGTGAAACTCCAATTTTATTTGCGAAGAATCAGAAGAGCTGTAACACTTACTAACCCCCCCCCCCAAAAAAAAAGGGTGTCTTATGACTTTAAGAATGAATCGTAGCAGATTTTTGGGCCATTAGAGCATTCAAGATGGTTGTTTGAAAGACTGTTCGATCCAAATGTTTAATCTCATGGGAATTTAGTTTTTGGTTATTACAGGGGCGCCACTCGTGTGGGGGGAGGGGGGGGGGGGATGACATCCCAATTCAAAATTTACTGTCGTCAACTTTAACCATTTTTAAAACCTTGATAGCAGTATTATTGGACCCCGTCGTTGTCTAAAGATAATAATATACCCGGCGTACTTATATAGCGCATATAACAATATGTCTCTCCATACGCTGTAAGAAAGAGAAATAAGGAAAGGTGGGTAGAGTAACATAAGAAGAGTGAGATATGCTCAACATACTTCTCTCGTTAACAGTGGAAAGTATTTTTGAAATGAAATGTTTGAAGACGCGCCTTAAAGTTGTCAAGAGTATCACAGTTTTTTAAATAGATTTTCCGTTAATTTATTCCAAAGTTCGGCCGATGCAACCTGAAAAGAGCGAGACCCATAGAATTTAGTATTTATTTGTGAAATAGGGAGAAGAGACTTTTGGGAATATTTGAGGGTTCTGTTTGGAACATATAGGGTAATTGAAGATTTACGGCTTAACTTTGTGTGCCAATTCGTTGCGATCCCCCTCTCCCGAAAAAAAAAAGATTTGAACACCTCGGTTGAACAGATCTGAAATATCATCCCTGGTGTTACTTCACTGATTTAATTAATTTCAAGTTACGAAACCGATTTGATTTTCATTTTTTTCTCAATTCATTTAAGCTTATATATGTATATATTTATCAATTTTGTTTTTATAGTAAGGCCTTTGTCTATTATGTTTATATATTAGGCCTATATTTATCTATCGTTTAATCAATTTACCTTTATTTTCTCATTGGGGTGAATATTGTTAGTCCGTCGATAAACACCTCTTAAACCAAATCCTGAAAATGCTGATCTAGTGTTTGTTATCTTTGGTAGATGTTAACGTCGTCCCCAATCCCTCCGCCTTCCCCGACCCGTGGCGTCTCCCTTGTTTTCTACCTCAGTATTCCGTGGTATTTGCGCCTTCTTGTGGTCTTTAATTAACAAGATTGACTCGTCTAGACAGCCCCGTTTTGTTAAAAACATCGAAAAGGCACAGCCTTGAAAATTTGTACGGATTAGATTACAGCATTGCCTCTTTTCTGCCGTTATTGTGTTATTTACATAATGCGTTCTTGCTAAGTATGCTGTACACTGCACAATGCATTTAGTTTTGTTGGTAATATTATTCAGGTCGGAACATAAGTATTACAGATACTCATGCAATTTTTTTGACTGAGTATTCCATTCATTAAAACACAACAATTCAATAAGCTTTCAAAATAGTTTTTTTTATCGAGAAAACAAACATGGTTAAATGAAGCTATCTGGTATACCAAACCTTCTTTAAGTATTTATGAGTATAAGGACGGGGGGGGGGGAGGGGGGGGGGGAGTACCCCCTTCTTATATTCTATTCCGATAGTATGCACGCTTGTCTTATAGAAAAATGAAGTTTTCTTTTCTAAGCCCCCCCCCCCCCTTTGTGTTAGCATCACATCCGTCAGATCCCCCCCCCCCCCCGGGAAAAACGCCCACATACACTTTTATTTCCTTTTGTTTTTTCGCAGACAATGTCCATTAGTTAAAAAGAGCTGTAATTTCGTCCGACTGTGATTTGACATATAGGTCCATTTACGCGATGGTAAACACACATTACAACTTAATATTAACAAATTAATATTAATAAATTAATAGCGATGTTACAGTGATTTATTTTGACAGAGTGGTCCATATATTAAAACAAGAGAATTGGATAAACTTTCAAAATAGTTTTGAAAAACTTGTAAAATTGCATTGTGAATGGACTGCTATACCAAACGAATTAACATCAGTAATATAAATACAATGCGAGATAGCATTATACATTCAAATGAGGTTTCCTGTTCCATCGCTAAATATTATTCGATATAATATACGGATCATGTTTGGCATTAAAGTTAACTTAATCCCAAGAAATAAGTTTAGTTATTCTGAGAGATTTATTGTTACAGTATTATGTTACATTAATAATCATGATTCCCCACCAAAGAGTATGAGAGAGGTATAAGCATGATATTCTTAGCATAATGTACAGTTTCTTAGCACGACAAGGGCATCGCCATTTTCCTGATAACGTGAAGTACTATGCCAAGTAATTTACCAAGTAAATGTATTCACATTAATGGATGCTTCCTTCTCGCATGTCTGTGGTGATAAATACGGTATAACCTGCTATTATCTTCTGTAATGCTAGTGTCCAAGCGCAAATTGCAAAAATAAGTTGTTGCTCATCTGGGGGTGAAGGTTTCGCAAAAATGAACTGTATTTGTCAAGAGCTATATTTTTAGTTTTATTAAATAGATGAGTTACTACATTATACTCCTGTTGAATATTTTGTACCTTCTCAGCTAAGATTTCCCCTCATTGAAAAGAAACTATTTTGTTATTTAATGAAAAGAGTCTTTCCAACTAGAGCTTGGTGCATGATACGAGAACAAGATCGCCTGGTACGTCATATTATGAAGAAAATGTCTGCGCTTATGTCATGCTTCATTTCGACATCTCTCGTAAACTTTCGTAAGGAATCGGATACATCAATAGGCAGGAACACATCTCATCTTTCAGCATACCTACACTTCTTGTTTGGGGTGAGGTTTCCTTTAATAAGCAACCTTTAAATGCAAAGACGGAAATATTATATATCTGTCATGAGATGCTCAACAAGCGGTTAGAATAATAATTAGGATGCAAATTTATTCCGGGGGAGTGATACAAGAAATCCTAACAAACACTTCAGTTCTTAGAAGTATTCTGTTTCCGTGCTTGCATTAATGACTAGGTAGAGCTTAGCGTGTATGGATGCATATTGTACTCGATCGTATGATCATATCCGGTTCAGAAAAAAGAAAGATTTCGGGTAAAGGAAAAAAGGACACCTAAGCTTCATTATTCTTTGATTATGAGTGTGGACAACTTATCAAATTAATTAATTGTTCTTTAGGCTCCTCATATTGAATTGTCATTTTGAAAGTCGTATCTAAATCCTGCGAAACTCACTGCTTATTTACCATACCTATCATAAGTATTATTTTGTAACAGACTTATCGGCCTTATTAATCATAGTTTTTATTATGTCAAACAATCCCAATAAACCTTCAGTTCTTAAAAGTATTTTTTTTCCATGCTTGCATTAATGGCTAGGTAGAGCTTAGCGCGTATGGATCCATATTGTGCTTGATCGTATGATCAAACTTAAATCCTTATGAGAGAAGATTGACTTGTTGTGAATCAGGTAAAGAATACTTCAAATTTAATTATCATTTTGAAAGTCGTATCTAAATCCTGCGTAACTCATTGGTCATTTACCGTACAGCTATATAAGTTTCAGGACTCCTCAATCCTCTCTCTCTCATATGGTGCAACCGCAAGCCTACTGTTTCTACATCAGCATGCAAGCCGATACTTACAAGCAGCATCTAAGTTTTGTGTTGTAATCCACTCACCAGATGTGAGTGTGGAACAATTACCATATAGGATACGTGCCGGGGTGTAATCTACTTTTTGGACTTGTATTTTCTCTTGAGATCATATTTTTAATTATTTTGTATTCTAAATATATTCCCTAGGAAAAATATAACCCCTTCATGGTCCAAAGAAAGCATATTACACAAACTACGAGTCAATATAAATGTTTAATAACTTATCACCATAAATTAGCGTTTTACCAATACACATACAAAATATAAACATACGAACAAATACACACATGAACAATGCATCGATATATGTTTCAATATAATCATTATCTGATTATAGGGTATGTTTTGCTTTACATTGACATGTGC